GGGTTTGGAGCCCAGACAGTTGTAAGTCCAAATCCCACTCACTACCCAGTCTCTTGATGGCTTGAGACCTTGGGCTGGCCACTGAGCCTCCACCGACCTGTTTTCTCGTCTCTAATATGGTGGCTATAGTCACAGTCTTGGGAAGTCACTCTCAGGTCCAGGCCAGATGGAGAGAAATTGGTAAGGAGCCACCGAGCTCAGCACCTGGCACACGGGAAGTCTCTAGCCAGCGGGGTCCCCAGAGCTCTTTGGAAAAGGCCTGGCATTCCTGCAGACATGTGGGTAGCCCCAGAGATGACAGGTGGCCTTTGTACTTTCGATTTTATTTTCTGGCTTTGGTCTCTTTGGGCTCTTAGGTTCTGCAGTCTCTTCAGAGCAGAGTAAATCTGGAGTCTCTCTCTACATTTATTCGTTCCAGAGGCAGGAGGCCCAGGAGACCTGTTTTCTGAGAAGCTGGGGGCATTTTTCCCTTTTCTCCTTCCCTCCTGTAGTAACCTATTGACTTTAAGAGGGAATAATTTTCCGTACATTAGGCTGGAATTTCAAGGGGCACACTTATTTCTGAGACAAAAGCTCTGTACACCAACTGGCTCCATTTAGCCATTTTTCTCCCTGGCTATCAGGAGGAACAGAGAACACTGCTTACCGGGAGAGATGGCCCATTTAGCCGCAGCTCTATTTGCCAGTCCCCCATGGGGCTCTCACCTCTCCCAGTAACAGAGCTAGGGGACCTCTCCACACCCTAATCCAAAGCATGAGGGAGGCCTGAGGATGGCAGGGGCCTTCCAGGGACCCCCACCTTCCCTGCCACAAGGTTCAATACCCAGGCCTACTGCCTCCTCTTTTGTGTTGCGGCTGACCAGCAAGTTCAGGACGGAACAGGCAGAGGAGGTCTGTTCCAGGCTGGAAAGAACATCCCCAGTAGCACATGCAGTTCTCCTACCACCGGCCTTGATCAATCTGAGCCCACGGGGTGTCACCCCTGGATGCCCCAGGCCTGTGGACTCTGCGTGTCCCATCCTGGGCCCTTCATGCTCCTCGTAAAGTCTACCACCTTCTCTAGGACTTCCCATCTCAGGGAAGAGCATCCCTTCACCCACTGCTCACGTCAGAAGGTCAGGGCATTGGGTAATCAACAAGGAGTCCCCTAATCCTATCGCTACCCAGCCAGGTTCAGATTCATCATCTGTCACCTGGATGCCACCTCACAGGTGTCGGAGCCATACAGATGGCCATGGGATAGGTATTGATTGAATGAATGTAGATGGACAGATGGATGAATGAGTGAACGGATGATGGACTGATGAGTAGCTGGGTGGTGGATGGATGAGTGTACGAGTGGATGGACCGATGAGCGGATGAGTGGACAGATGGAGGGCCTGAAATGGTGGCCAGTGGGCAGCAGCTCCGCATGGAACTGCACATGCCATTTTCCTGGGTCATCAGTTTGACATAAATAAACACTTTTAATGAAAATGTATGTGCATGTGTGCGCATGAATGATTTTAGTATTCAAACCAACACGATCTATAATGGAGTAAGAAGAAAATTCACATACATTTTTAATACCAAACATGATACTTGAAAGTACTTCCGTGCCCCGGCCAGCTCCTCAGGGCTGTGTTGTCACACCTTCCCTGGGCCAAAAGGTTCTGGGGCCTACCAGAGGGACAGGCGCTGTCAGAACCAAGCTGACATGGGACTTGCAGACAGTGCAGAGCTGCACAGGGTTCCTGGGGACTGTCTGGGCCCCCAGGGCCGAGGGTCATGCCACGACAATGGTAGAATGACCTGCCCTGACATCAGGCCAGGAGTTTCGGTTGTACTCCAGGCAAGACAAAGATAAAAGGTAATTCATTTTGTAAGACAAGTTGCAAAATGGTCTCCAAGAAGCTATAAAGCGCTACTTAGCCTGTAATTGTTGTTAAATGGACTCTTAATAGTATTCACATCTTCCTGCAAAACCTATCCATTACCCAGTAACTGGGAGACACGGCCGCAGAGGGAGGTGCACTCTCACACAGGCACCCCCGCAAATACAAATGAAGAGCTCTTTTCCCACGTCAGAGTCTGCTGGGGTCGATTCTCTCCTGGCTAAACCCTGATGACGTCTGTCAACCCTTTCCCTGTTTTCCCACAACAAAGCATCAGGGGAGGCACAGTTTCTCAGAGGTTCTAGAAGATTCACTGCCGCTTCTCAGTGCCCAGCAAGGGAGCAGATACCTAGTGGGTACTTAATTTGTATCTCTCGTCTGCAAGACTGGACAAAGGGTTTCCTCTCCAGCACCCAGCGCGCAGACTGGACACAGCAGGACCTCTACCCATTCGCTACATGACTGGGCGTGGGCACCAACACAGACTTGGAGACCAGGTCCAGGCTGCGTCGGACAGCAAGGTGACACCAAGGCACAGTGGTAGATGGAGCCGAGTGGGGATTCTGCTCACTGGCATCTCATCCTCATTCATTCCTGCTGGAGACCAGGAGGGGCTGGAATGTCACAGCCAGGAGGGGGTTTAGAGAGCCTTCAGCTCCTCCTCTCAGGGACGGGGACACTGAAGCCTGGAGAGGGGTGGGATCTGCCCAGAGTCACTCAGCTCGGCAGCTGTGAGACTGCAGCTGTGCTGTGCTGTGCTCATACAGACCTAGGCCGCACCACTGGCTTCCTTGTGCTCTGTAGCAGGGGTGCCTGGAAAGCCCAGAATAAATGGGTGCCTCAAAGCCTGGCAGGCCTGGCTCTGATCCTTTGCAAGGCCAAGTACAAAGCATTGTGATTGCTTTTTTTTCTACCAGCTGTATTTTCTGCTCTGGGCAATGGAGGTGGTACCCAGGGTAGGCCCCACCTGACCATAGAATGCAAGAGGATGAATCTCAGCCCACAGCAGAGAGCTTAGCACACCAAGAGTCGTCACCAGGATGGCTGAAGGACCAATAAACTATGAAAAATAGATAAATGAATGCAATGAGGGAAGGCCAGTTTGCTTTATACTGCATCGAAATCTCTTGGAGGGATCCCAGCCCAGCCCATTGCATCTGTACTCCCTGAGTTCTGTCTGCATGCTCAGGGCCATGAAGAGCTGAGCAGTGGAGAGGAATCACAGCTGGTCTCTGCTCTGCAGTCCATAGGGGCTGCTGTCTCCCCAAGACTACCCTTCCAGTGTGAGAAGATCAGCTCTGGGCCCCTCCAGTCTTCTCCTCTGCCTAACCAGATCCTGCACCTCACCCTGTTCCTGGTCTCATATTAGTTCTTTCTATAACTGTGACTGTGGCTCTTCTGCCCCTAAATACACTTAAAACCAAATCGAGCCAAGCTCCTACCCACTGCAAGACCTCTTCAAACTGTCCACCAGCCTTTACTTTAAGTACTAAATGTATATTAACTCAGGTCACCCTTATTCCACTATTAAGACCCTGCTTTACAGACAAGGAAACTGAGGCACAGAGGTATTGAGGAACTTGCCCACAAGTGTGTCACTAGTGGACAAACAGTGAAGCCTGTAGCCCAGGGGTCAGGCCCTCGGCTCCCCTTGGCCTCTGAGTCCACACACTCCCGACCTCCCTGACCTCTGTCTCCATCCCTGCTCAGCAGGCAGCCTGTCGCTCCTCTGCACTCAGAGGAGCAGGAGACATGGAGGCTGCCAGGAGCGTCACAGCCAACATGCCACCTTGTTAATCAGGTAACAAACTGCTGGCTTTGTTCCCATCTCTAATAACTAATTTGTTCTCTAAGCACGGAGGTGTGGGCAGCTGTGCCAACAGCCAGCAGCCAGCTGGGCCCAGACCTGTGCTAGTGGGCAGAGCCATGGCAATGCTTCCCAGGCCACCTGTCAGGGTCTTCACTTACTGGACCAGGTCTGTCACTCTGAATGATAGCTTGCTGGGCCACATAGTGAGGACTGGTCACCCTGGAACCACCCATGACACTAGAGTCCCAGGTAGTTAGCAAGGAGGCTTCTGAGTTTCTCGCTAAGGATAATGGCTACTCACAGGTGCACTGGACCTGTGCATTGCATTAATTCCATCAACACAACAATGAAGACACTGTTACTGCCACTCCTCCGGTGAGGAGAGGTCAGAGCTTGCTCAAGGTCACAGAGCCTGTACACTGGGGTGCCAGACTCAGGCCTAGGTGAAGGCCCTGACTCTCTAGTAAAGAAGTCAGGGGGTAACCTCAAGGCAGTGCCCTCATCCCAGTTCCCTGCCACTCCCAGGGCCCACTGTCACCTCCCTCTGGTCAATTTTCTGCCTAGAACATGGGGTGGGTCATAACACCTTGTTCCTAGGGCAGTCGTGGGATGGAGTGAGATCAGATGTGTGAAGCCCCCGAGGGAGAAAGAGCAGACCCAAGCCGGCCTCTGCTTGGACACATCCTTCCGGGCAGGCACCCGTCCCCTACCCCCACCCCAAGGCAGCCCTCCCACCTCTGCATTCCAGTTTTCCCCTCAGGAAGCTTCTCAGTCAAAGTCAAGGAGAGGAAGAAACACAACAAAGTCACCTGCTTTGGGTAGTAAGATGTTTCCTAAAGCCAGCCAGAGAGCAAAGTCAGGAACCACCCCTCAGACCAGAGGAAAAATCAAAACCAAATCAAACTGAATAAACGAAAGCCCTCCAGAAGAACAAGCCTGCTCAGTGCTGCCTCTCCAGGAGGGCAAACCAAAAGAGCTGGCTCTCTCCCTGCCCCAGGGCCCGCTGACTCTGACGCTGTGCCCTGAAGGATGTGGCTTCCAGGTGAGAGAGGACACCGCACCCCAGGTGATCGAGCAGTGCCTCCCCCAGGGGCCTGGCGACGGTTTAAAATATAGTTATCAGATGGTATAAGGCAGAGCTGGGGAGCTTGGCTGGAAGGAGCAGGGTGCTAGCACCCCACACTCTGGACTACAGTCCCAAAACAGGAACCCGGCCAGGCTGGGCAGCAGATTCCAGGCTCTGCAGGAAGTGGCCCAAGGCAGAGAAGGTTGTGTGAGCTGGAGCCCAAACCCTGCCCACCTGCCCCAGCACCTACCTTTCTCTTGTTGGTCGGGCAAATGTAGAAGTTGTCGATGACAGTAGTGACACCAGGCTGGAGGGTAAGCTTGGTGTAGGATGTCCCAAAATCTGAGGACCTGGGGGAATAGACAACAGCCATTAGCAACTTGCCTTCCAAGGAGAGCACTGGTCAAGCCACACAGTATCCAGAACCTGCCCTGTGCCAGTGAGTGCAGGCAGAGCACCCCGGATTCCCTGAGTGCAGCCTGGGCTCCCCCAAGAACAGGTGAGGAAACAGTGCTCTGTGTTCAGTGCCTCCCATGTGCTGGCATGGCCACGTCACCATGGCTCTCTCACAGCCGGTCAGGAGGAGGCTCAGAGGGCACAGTTCCCTGCCTGAAATCACTCAGCTAGTAAGTGGCTGACCCAGGATTTGAATGCTGGCCTGTCTGAAGCCAGGTTGGCATCCTGTTTGCTGCCAGAACACTCATCAACTATGCCAGGCATCATGGTGGCTTTCCTGCTGCCTCTTACCCTCTGTGTACCCTGAGTTCCTCCAGGAGCCCCACTTGACTGTCACCTCCAGCACCAGACAGTAGGGAACAGGGGTCAGCCCATTGCCAGCGCCTGCTGGGACACCAGGCTCTCAACCCAGCAGCTCACCCTGCTCCACCAGTGATGAGAGAGAGTGAAGCCATCAAAAGCAACATCACATCTGTTATTTGGAGGCCATGGACACATCAGGATACAGAATTAATTGTACATTCAAGATTGAGATCCCAGAAGACCTGAAGCCAAGGCCTCTTATTGCCACCTATTAGAATGTGCTGGGGTTGCAAGGAATAGCCACATCCTCAGGGATGTCCTCCCGTCCTACCCTACCTGTCAATGTGGGGTCCAGAGATAGACCCAAGGAGGGGAAAGGAATGGGGACTAAACACACAGCTATTGAGGTCCTGCTGTATACTGCGTGCACACAGGGCCCCTCTATATCTAATTGCTGCTGAGACTCACAGGGGAAGCTGAGCTTAGGAGGCCATTCAGAGACCTCCCCTACCCCGGCGTGGGTGAGCTCCAGGGCCCCCGCCTCAGACCCCAGTACCTTGGCCACAAGCCGCCTCTTCTGTGTGGCCCGACTGTGGGGTCAGAGCTTCTCAGATCTGCCCAGTTTGTAGTCCTGGGGCCTTCAGCATAAAGGTAAACATCCCCCCCAGGAGTTTTTAAATCCCCTCCCATAGTCCCCCCTTGGTGGTTTCTACATGGAGATAGTTCCTCCCTACATCTTCCAGTGAAACTGAGGCTTCAGAAAAATGGGCCATTCTCACCTCAGGGCCTGGGGGCCTCGTGGCCACAAGTCCCCGGGTGCTGCTGTTTCCCTCTGAGGCCAGGACCAAGAGCAGCCCCTAGGCCACTGACTCTCAGAAGGTCCAGTGGGGCCTGGTGACCCCAGAGAGGAGGAGGCTGGGGGAACAAAACATCAGTGGCAGTGTAGTTAGCCAGCACTTACTCTTCAAACCTCAGAGAATTGATTTTCTCTGGGAAGGGGGGAGAGAGGGGCCCATTAGTAGAGGATTGATCTGATCCAGACCCCCAGGAAATTCCAGAGCCCCCGCAGGAATGAGCAGCTGTGTTTAGACCCCACGCAGCTGAAGCTGCTCTGGGCCCCTCCCTGCCCACCGGGCAGAGCCACTGAGACCTGCCTCCACCTCTGCCACCCACAGGCTTCCCAGCCAGCCCTCCCCTCCAGTCCTGCCAGCCACATGCCCCTCAGCCAGAGCAGCCTGCTCACATTTGCTCGCTCAAGGGCTCCCGCCTGGTGCAGCCCAATGCAGGGAGCCAGTGGACAAAGGCTCTGCTGTCTGTCCAGGCCTTGCCTAGTGGGAGGCAGACGGCTGATAAGCAAAACAGCAGTGACAGCATCGACAGGTTGAGGCTGGGAGAACATATAGCCTTTGGGGGAGTGGGGGTGGGGAGTGGTGGCGTCTCTGTGTCACAGAGGCAGACAGGAAGGACCCTCGATCAAAGTGGCATTTGAGCACAGCCTAAAAGGGAGGAGGGAGGCTGTGCAGGTCTGAGTAGTGCCCCAAGTTCACATCCGCCTGGGGCCTGTGAGTGTGACCTTATTGGAAACAGGGTCGCAGACACATAGGGAGCATGCCTCATGAAGAGGGAGGCAGAGGCCAGAGTAATAACAACTGCAAGCCACGGGACACCAAGGACTGGGGCAATTGCCAGCCACAGAGAGAGGGAACAGTCTCCCTCAGAGCCTCTGGATGGGACCAGTCTCAGACATCTGACCACCAGCACCATGAGAGAAGAAATTTCTTTGTCTTAAGCCCCAGTCTGTGGCACTCTGTATGGCAGGCCTATCAGGCAGCACAGAGCGCAAGTGGACGGTGCTGCAGGTGCAGGGCCTGGGGGACAGGAAAGGAGGGTCAGTGTGAACCACAGGCGTCACTGCCACCAGCTGCAGAGGCCTCAGAAAGTCCCTGTTCCTGCAAAGTCCAGTCCTTCCAATGTCCATCAGACCCAAGGGCAGACCCGAGTTCATCCACTCCTTTGCTGACTGTGGTTTGTTTGGATCTTTTGTGCTTTCAGCCCACAGTAAGGGCTGGGAATCCAAATCCATTTCCCCATTCCATGAGTTCACAGGGCTGCACAGAGGCTGGGGACCCACCCACAGTGAGCAGGACAGGCACTGCCCCACACTCATGGGTGACAGGCCAGCTGGTGGGGCACAGTGGGCGAGAGAAGGAGCTCGAGAATGAGTGTGTGCAGATGTGGCAGTGGCAAGCAGTGATGCCAAGAGGCACATCCTGAAAGCAAAGGCGACACTGAGATGACATCAAATGCCCAGAGGGATGGTCCCCAGGGCCTGAGAGCACGGGCCTGCCCTGTTGTATGGCACTCAGGATGAATTCATCCGAATCTCCATAACTGTGTAACTTATACTGATTTCAAAGACTAAAGATAAAACTATAAAATATTTCATTACAATTTTTATATTGATAATGTGTTGACATAACATTTTGGATATATTGAGTTAATTAAAATCTATTATTAAATTTAATTTCCTTGTTCTTCAAGTTAATAGGCTTTATTTCTGAAAGTGCTTTCAGGTTCACGGCAAAACTGAGCATAAAGACGGATCCTGTATGCCCCGCCCCCACCGCAGTGGTGCACTGTTCCGATGGGGAAGCCACACCGACACGCCATCGACACCTGCGTCCACAGTCTACCTCAGAGTCCGCGGTTGCTGTGTCCACTCTGCACTTGGACAACAGCATGATGCCACTGCAGCATCACGCAGAGCAGTGTCACTGCCCCGCAGCTCCTCTGCTCCTCCTGCTCATCCCTCCCTGCCCTTCCCTGGCAACCGCCGGTCTCTCCACTGTCCGCATGGTCTGCCTTGTCCAGAAAGTCATGGAGTTGGAACCCTGAGGTGTGCGGCCTTTTCAGAGAGGCTCTGCTTACTTAGCACCGTGTATTGAAGGTCCCTCCATTCTTTCCCTGTCACCCATTTCTCTTTACTTTTTAATGTGGACACTGGGACATTAAAAACCACACATTCAGCCTCAAGTTCTATCCTAATGGATGGGCCAGGCTGGACAACGCACCACGGTAGTGGGTGGCCTCCCAAGGGTGTGCGCAGGGCCCTGGTGGACAGGTATGTGTGCCAGTGGGTGCCCAGAGAGACACAGGGCATGTGTCTAGACGGTGTCTGATTGCAGCACACACTGCGGTGGCAGGACTCTCACTGCCCCTGTTCCAGGAACAGCTGTGGCTGCCAGTGGGTGACGAAGCAAGAGCAAAAGGAAGCCAGGGTGCAGGCCCAGGAGGAGCAGTCGGCACCCCAGGGCCTGGATAGTGTCAGGATGAGGGAGGCATTGGAGAGGGATGCTGACTGGGTGACAAGAAGGGTGTGGTGACACCGTCAGGTGGGGCACTGCTGGGCGTATGGTGAAAGCTGGGCTAGCAGCCAGGACAGCCCCTGCGGGAAGTGCAAGGTCAGGGCACCTGGGCTGGCATTCCCGCATCGCTGTTGGTTTGTTGTGACCCCTGGGCAGCACATAGGGTCTCAGCTTCAGTTTCCCCATTGAGGGGTCCCTGGGTCCCCCAGTGTGACGGGCTATGGCTACACATCTTAACCTCCAGGCACCTACAAGTCATCTGGCCTTAGAATCCTGCACAAAGGCACCAAGGGCATCGGTCCCTGTGGGAAGGCCCTCATCTACATAGCGTGAGCCTGGTGGTAGCTCCTGTGTCCACCTCTCGCCTCATTATTTCCTCCAAGCAACTGTTTCTTGAATAAGTAAATAAGTCTAGCCATGTTCATACCCGCCTCATGGAGCTTTATTGCCAGGGCAGCTCTGTGTGGCCTGCACCCCTCCCTGCCCTGCCGAGGCGGGAGAGTCCACCTGAGCACCAGTCTCCAGGTTGTTCAGAGTCTCTGGGGCAGACCAGGCCTGCTGTGGATAAGCCGCTCAGGTGCTAGGTGCCTTGCCACTTCTCTGCAGCATGCTCTCCAAGGGCAAGGCTGTCGGCAGAAGTGCTCAGACCTTGATTGTGGTTAGAAAACCTGAGAGTGGTGGCAGCAGCCCTCGGGCACAGTGTCACACAGAGGCTGGGGCTGAGCAGGTGTGCAGGGGAGGGGGTGCGGGTAAGAGGTGCTGCTGCCCCCCATTTCCAGAGACTCTATAGTGTCTTCTTTCAAAGAACATTTTCAAAACCCCACACATGTCCCTGTTGTCTACTATGTGTTTTCAATGCAGTGCCAGCAATAAGACTTGGCCAGACAAGGTAACTCGTGCTGAGAAGGGGAAACTGAGGCACGGCAGGGTGAGGCTGGAGTGGTGGTGGTGAGTCAGGCTGCCCTGCCCACTCTACAGTCTGGGTACTTGTTCCCATTCAGTGCTGGGGTCAGAAGTCCAAGGTTGAGGTGTGACAGGGCCATGCTTCCTCTGGAGGCCCTCGGGGAGGACCCTGCTGCCTCCTTCCATCTCCTGGTGGCTCCAGGTGGTCCTTGGCTTGTGGCTGCAGCACTCTGATTTTGTCTGCCTTTGTCTCCACATCTGACTTAGGGTGCTCCCTCAATCCAGAAAGATTCGTATAGACATCTGCAAAGACCCTGCATCCA